CCTATTGCTGCCGAGGCAGAGAGCCTGAAGAAAGACTACAACACCCACAAGGCGGAGCAGAGCTTGCCTGCTCTTCTTCCTGCAACTACATTTTAAATCAATTTGTCACACCTCGTTATGTCAAAGGTTGTTAGGAGTGCAAAAAGAGGAGAAGGCTTCTTTCTGAGGTATGTGCAATGTTTAGCTTTTCATTAAAATAGCCACTAAAAGACTGTTGAATGGGTTCATGATTTTGGATGCTCTCAGTGATGCAACTATTCGGAGTTCAGAAAATATGTATTTTGTTCTTTAGGTTTTTCCTTTTTGTTTCTGCTACTATACATAGTACTTAAATTACTAAAAAACAAACAAACAAACAAATCAAAACAAAATAGAAAAAAACTAAACAAACCTAATGCAAATAAAACTGTTAGATTGAGGAAAGTGACTATTTGCCTTTCTACAGACATTCTAGCCCAGAATAACAGAGCATTTTATAGAGCTTGCTGAATAGACCTTCAGTCTTTCTTTAGCCAAGTAAATATTCCTCTTTGCCTTCTGGATGCTCCTGACTTCGTCCATTATTTCTTGCTCATCTGCCATACTTTTCACTCCTGATTTAAACCTCCCAGAAGAGGACCTCTCACCAGGAATCACTTAGAATAAAAAAGGGTGGGCAGTCAGGAGGGTTTGTCTGGAGAAGGGTTACGGCCAGAGACTGGAGTGGCAGCAGAGAGGAAAGCAGGCACACAGATCTGAAAATAAAGCTAATTTGGAATTTTTGTCTGTCCAAGGATTCAAAGTGTAAACTCCAATTTATCTGTAAATAGTTCTACTTCTGCTCATTTATTTAAAAGAAACTGAGGTGTGTTCTCATTCGGTCACTGATGCATTTACATCAAATATTGTCCAGAACTTTCCCATTTATTAGGAGTCATGATGAAGAATCACGATCTTCTCTTGTGCATTCAGTGGAGCTGAAACTAAACTACAATGAAAATATCACTTGCTACCTTTGGAAACTACAACCATAGTCTGAAAGAAATACAGGAAACCTACTGACAAACCAGATACAAAAGTGAAAGCATAAAAGAAAAATGCAAAATATTCTGTGAAACAAAAGAGATTTAGGCCTGAAGGGAATATGATGGCTAACATTCTCTCTGCCTTCTCTTGAATTCTTGTCAAGAAGGAAAAATAGCTTAAATTCCTGAATTCTGATACCAGACTCATCTCCAAAGAACTGTTGCTGGTCTGTAACTTCTATACCTTGCCCTGCTTGCCTAATGATGATGTTTAAGCAAAGCTCTTGTAACTGAGGCAGCAAATGTTTATCAGTGGGATTTTCTTTTTCCTACACAAAATTACATTGAGTGATCAATGTAATGTAATGCAGATCAGACCCTGTCCCAAGCAGAGTAAGAAGCTGAAACTCCCCAAAGAGGCAGTTGCACCCTTTTTTGTTTTTTTTTTCTGCTTTCACCAATCAGTGGAAGTAAATGACACAGTAAAGCACACCCATCATGAAAACTCTTCAGCACTGAAGGATGACATCAGAACCAGCACACCGCAGCTTTCTGCTCATTTTTCCCTCGTGAGAATAGCTTTAGTCATCTTTTTAAATGTTTTTAATTTCTAATGAAGTAAATGGGAATTTGGAGTGAATGTAGACTACACTACCAGACTCCATTTCTTTATAAAATTTTAACAGCAAATATTAGTTTTCATTAAGCACAGATCCACAGGATCGTGTGTGTGTGTGTGTGTGTGTGTGTGTGTGTGTCCCTTTGGTTTATCTGTCCTCCAACCTGTTCTTTACTATTCTCTCGTTCTCAGTGGCAGTCTTTTTTCTCTTAAGTGCTTTTACTGCTGCTTCTATTTATCATGTTTTCTTTTGTGCTGCTTTGGAGCAGGGACCCTGTTTTTGTATACACTTGTGAAGTAATATAAACTTGCACAAAGTTATGAAGCCAACATCAATGTCAGAAACTAATGCCATATATTACTGCCATACTTGGTAACTGAACTTACATAATCTACATAAAATAGCTGGTTCTGAGCTAAAAACGCATCTTGTAAACTCCTCATATGCCACAGTCCACAACATTTTACATGGAAGATTTGTGCAGTGTTATGAACTCGAGGTGTTGATAATCACCCTTATCAGTTTTCTACCCACGTTTGAGTTTTTTTTCCCCCTCGGGGAAGTTGCAAACTGAAGCTGTGGAGAGGCTTGGATGAGGGTGCTGGAGTTGGAAGAAATAAAAAAACAGAGAACCTGCTTCAGAGCTGAGCTGCTGTGACTGAGATTTGAGGCAGGGAAGTTCCTAATAGATGGAATAGACAGCCCCAAACTGAGATTCCTAAATAGTCATAGTTGGGGAAAA